GGGGGAGGGTCAGAGGGAGAAGCAGACTCCCTGCCGAGCAGGGAGCCCGATGCGGGACTCGATCCCGGGACTCCAGGATCATGACCTGAGCCAAAAGCAGTCGCTTAACCAACTGAGCCACCCAGGCGCCCCTGTCAGTAGCATTTTAAATACTTTTTTTAAATGCTAAGTCTTTGCATGAAACATAAGTACCCCAAACTATACATGCCAAAACTGAACTTCTCTTGTTTCTTCAAAGGCTTTCTTGGGAGTATAGAAGAGTCTTCAAGACTCTTCAAGAATTTTTTTTATTCTTGAGAGAGTAGGGGGGACAAGGAAAAAAAGAGAAATGTTAACTAAAGTGTGGAAATTTTTCCACAGAATATTAAGATTACTGTATGTTGGCAAACATGCTTAAAAACATGTAACTAGGGGTGCCTGGGTAGCACAGTCGGTTGAGGGTCCATTTCTTGGTTTTGGCTCAGGTCTTGATCTCAGGGTTGTGAGATCGGGCCCCTCGTTGGCTCCACACTCAGTGTGGAGTCTGCTTAAAACTCTTTCTCCCTGTTGCTTTGCCCCTCCCCACTGTGCGCTCTCTCTCTCTCACATAAATAAATAAAATCTTTTTAAAAATGTGTAACTATATTTAGAATTATCTATTGGGTATATTTCAGCTTAAATTACAAAATGCTTGAGGGATATCTGTTCTGATCATTTGAAATTAGGAAAATATTTTAATTTATTGATGTCTTTAATGCACTTGAACCAATAGTAATTAGATGTCATTCCCACCCCTACTTTCTGACTTGGTCTTTCAAGAAAATTAATAGTAAAAAAGATTCAAATAATGACATAACTAACCCAAGGGAGGAGATCCTGTGAGATCCTGTTCTGGGGGCAGGAACATGTAAAGGCAGTCCTGCAAAGAAGCAGCTAGTTAGTTAGCTAGTTTGTTAGTTAGATGATGCTTTGGGACTAACTGGACCTGGGCACTTCAACCTCTAAGAACAAACAAATCTACCATAAAGAAGAGCCCACCAACAATCTAAACACAATCCAAGGAGAGTTTTATCATCATGCTTGTTGCTAGGAAAATACATTCAGAAGAGAGATGCACAGACCTTAATCATTTCATACCCTAAGGACTAGAGGTAAAATAAGAGAATAGGGGATGTATGACACCCTTTTATTCCCTCCACTTTCCAGTGTACCCAAAATAAATCTTTTTCTTTCATATTGTCCAGTGTTGAATTAGTCATTCCATAGATGAGGGAGAATTCACAAAGGCTAGCTCTTAATTTCTCAAACAAATCCAGTATCAATTATAGCCCTAGATCCTTTGTAGGTCATCTATTCACAGAAGCCAGAAATCTGTGCCAGCCTGATTTTACTTTTACTACCAAATCCAGTCAATTTTATGATCTTAATAGCTCTCAAATCTATCTCCTTTTCAACAAGTCTATGGCTACTAAAAAGGGCAAGAAGAAATGAGCAAAAATGGAGTATACATGATTGAATGACTCTCTCATAGCTAGGTTTGCAGTTACTCTAATACATGTGCTATCAGAAGGAATATATAAAAAGAAGAATTGGATCTGATGGATAATAGCTCTTACAGTATCATATTTGAACTTCTTAATCCTTATGAATTCCATTATTTTCAAAACTGGTACTTCTTTTTAACAGAGAAAGAATATCACACACAATTTAAAAGATAATTTACTTACAAGTTATCCTCAGGTGTGTTACAAAGAATTCAACTGAATTTTCAAATTATATGTTTAGGTCTTGTAACCCATTTTTTTATTCTTTTTTTTTTTTTTCATGTTCAAAATCGCTTTTATTTTGCTTTTGTGCCCTGATAGAGGTTGAACACCTGGTCTTGGGATACCATGTGACTATGATACCCCAGCAGCTGATTGATTGATTTTTTAAATTTAATTTAATTTAATTTTAGTTTTTAGTTTTATTTTATTTTGTTATGTATCTCTTATTTCGATCCTTAGTGAAAGATTCATATACCCAGTTATCTAGTTGTCATTTTCACTTGGTTATTTCATAGTTCTCCTATGCCTAATATGTTAAAAAATAGAATTTTTGATTTTTGTTCTCCCGTCCTTCATCAACATTTGCCACTCAATCTTAGGTAGCAATGTAGTCTCAATTGTTAAAGTATAAATGATCTAAAAGTTTTTTGAATCTTCTTTTTCTTCAATTCCTTCCCTTTATCTAATTGAGTAATAAGACCTATCAGCCTTATCTATACAATATATAGAATTCATCTTTTTAAAAATATCAGAACTCTAGAGGTGCCTGAGTGATTCAGTCGGTTAAGCGTCTGATTCTTGGTTTTGGCTCAGGTCATGATTTTGTGAGGTGGAGCCCTGCTACATGCTCTATGCTTGGATATTCTCTCCTTTTGCCTCCCGCCCCCAATAAATAAATAAATCTTAAGAAAAATGTCCTAACTCAATTACCACCATCCAAATTGAGCCGCTATGATTTCTCATAGAGACCACTTACTATACTATAACTTATTAGCTGGTCCCCTTAATTGTACTCTGGCCCATTCCAACACAACTACATAGTACATCCATTGTTCTTATAACCAAAGTAAACCTAAATCTTCATATAAGTCGAATTACGTTACACGCGGTTTCAATTCCTTTTTATGTCTTCCCATTGCACTTAAATCTAAATTCTCTCTTGTGACTTGTAAGGCTTTTTCATGATCTTGCCAGTCAGCCCTTGCTCACCATGCTCTGGTCACTCAAATCTCATTGCTCTTCTTCAAACACTTGCTCCTTGGGGTAGTGGCACTTGCAGGACCATCTTTTTGGGAGATTATTTGTCCTGGATGGCACATGGCTGGATTATATCTGTGATTCAAGTTTCAGTTTGAAATCTCAGTTTCTCAAGTAGGTCAATCCTGACTACCCTCTATAAAGCTCTTCTTTTTCTCCAGTTATTCTCAGTTGTATCAATCATGATTTGTAACTCTGAGTTTGTTTACTTGATTAATATCTGTCTTCCATAATGTTTTCTATGACTGTGCATACACGAGAGCACAGACTTTGTCACATTTTATCTGTATTTACAGCATATAGGATCATGTATAATGCTCAGATATTCAGTGTATGAGTGGATATGTACTTATTAAACAAGGAATAAAAACAAGAAGGAATTTGCTTGCATTCTCTGTAAACTGTTTGCTTCATTCTCTTAGAGTAAGCCTGAAAAACTCTACTCCCAACCCTGGGAATAAAAGAAATAGTACAAGTCTTCTTTCAACCCTGAGTTTTTATCACTGTTGCCTTATTTCTCAGAATTAATATAATCTCAGAAGATAAAACACTTACTTTGGTTACATCACTTTCATCCTACATATGCCAGTAAGTAGAACTGTGTGCAGTAAGAGATTTTTAATATGGCTTCTTTTCCACCTTAGTATTCTTTGCCTGGCTACTCTTCACAGAGAAATTGAATGTTGAGGTGTTAATATTTCTAATGTAAGTAGATGATCAAATTTCTCAGGTCCACAACACAAAGACATCAAACATGGAGTTTCCAAGATTTCCTTTAGCCCTCAGGGGTTTTTTTGTTCCCATGCCTAATAAATTCAAATATATTGGTCTCCACCTAGGTGGGAGGTGGGAGAAGGTATTCTTTAAGACCATATCAAAAAGAATGTAAGCTTCAATGTATGCATCTAATTTTCTGTTGTTTCTTTAACTTACAAGGCACTCAATATAAATCTTTTTAAATTTATCAATTTAATCAATGTGTATCTTGCACTGTCAGATTCGAGAAGAAAAATTAACATATGAAACTAATGTAGAATTAATTTTTATTTTTGCCAAATTAATTGATGAGAATATTTACAAACATTTTCTTTTCTACACACAAAATTTATGGCTATTCTAGGCTGGTTAGTAACAGAGTCAATCGCTCCAAAATATCCTTTCTGTAACATAAATGATTTGCTTTTGTTGGAATTTCCCAAAGAGATATTTCATAGATAACATATGTATAATCCAAATAGTATTCTCCTGGCATGTAGCGATGATCTGCATTGAATCAATATCTCCTTTGATAGTTTTGATGTTTTAACATCTCAATACATAAGGTTTTTTTTGTTTTTTTTTTTAAAGATTTTATTTATTTATTTGACAGAGAGAGTCACAGTGAGAGAGGGAACACAAGCAGGGGGAGTGGCAGAGGGAGAAGCAGG